TACCTCATCTAATCATCTCACCCATCCCGGAGCTCCTCCCCTTCTAAAAGTTAGGGAAGGAGCTCCGGGGTGGGTGAACCAATTGGATGTTCAATTCTTACCCCATCCCAGCTTTTTGCACGCGATAATCATCTCTCTCACCCCGAACGAAGCTCCTTCCCTAACTTTTAGAAGGGGAGGAATCCATCTCTGCGATCTGTATGTACCCCGCCGCTCGTGTCAGGGACGCAAAGCACAAGAGTGCCTGGCACCCCCCAACTACATTCTCACCGTGATCCTTACTGATTCTATGTGTAGAGTTCCTTCGTTGGGTTGAAAATCTCTACGAGTTTTTCGATTGTCATGATTATCCTTAAGTATCGATACCATTGCTACTGATCGAATGATCTGCAAAATACCTGAAGTTTCTGCTGCTATCCTCAAAATTCCCTCGTGCAAAGAAGTCCCATGTTTTCCCCGCAAGACATCCTTCTTTGCTTGTGTGTAGCGCTGATGACTTTGGCACTACTGAGAATTTCGTTAGGTCAAGTGCTGTATTCCAATGACGGAAGGGCAAAGGCCCTCCCATCACTACACCGCCTGTCCCTACAGTTGCCACATAGGATTCGTTTCAATGTCTTATATGGGAACTCGTTAGAAATAAGAGGAAACTCGTTGACAAGAATCTTTGCCCAAACGCCTAATGTGGGTGGTGAGTCCGAAAGTCCATCCCTGCTTTCTTTGTAATTGGTAATTGAAGGCTGTCGGTGTGTTTGGCTTTAATCAATCCTGTTTTCAGACAAGTCTGGGACCAAGCAATCAACCGGGAGAGATAGAGGCTCGTTTGGCCTGGGTGACTATCGACCCAGTATCCGAATCCCGAGCATCTTTTGGTTAGTGTGTCCCGGCCACTACAACACCTGCGTCCTTAGTCCCTCAGGCCAAACACTCTGAAAGAAATATTCCTCCGAGGGCCAATCTGAATTTGTACTGACTTCTGAACCTTTCCCGAACCACTCTTATAATTAGAACAAGACCTGGGCCTTCTCCGAAAAGGCGAAGTTTAATGGCAGGCTCCGCCCTTTACGTTATCTTCATTCACAGTCGAACCGATTCTTAGCGCGCATCATGGGACTTATTATTCGGCGTTTAGAAGGCCCTAATACAGAAGGAGAGAGGCTACAGAGGGAGTGCAACCGGATTCTCATCACTCGCGCCATTGTCACTGACTTAAGATTACTAGTTTTCAAAAGTTCTAGCAGTTTTTTTATGGCAGTCAAAATTAGCCATATAAGGATACAACATCATCCAAGTCGGGCCATACTTGAGGTTTTACGTGGCTAGGGTGTTTTTGGTGTTCAAAAATCAACGAGTGCAACCAGGATGCTGAGCGCAATGGCCCAATTTGAAGTGTTCTTGAGAAACACCCGTAGACGGACGATAGCCGCTATTGAGGAAGATCTTGATCCATTGAAACGATCGCGTTTTCACTGAACTCTCATACACTTTCTCGGCCTCAATTTCGCTCTCGTATGCTCCACTATGGACCCTTCACTGTTTGCATTTGCCATTCACTTGACCGAATTTTTGATATAACTCACCAGCGGCCAGCCAAACACCTTCGATGACGCCACGCCACGACCTCAAACCGTCAGACAAATGCCCTTTTGAAGTTTCACTCAGATGGAACTCTCCTTTTACCGTCTCCAGTCCAAACGGGAACGTTTAGGATAATTGCTCTATTCTGAACTGCAAATCGATTCACTCTGCTCCAGTTCCGTAATATGTGTTGACCCACAAAACTAATTTCTTTACAATACTTCACTACCAACTGGTTTTCTCAGATCTCGGATATCTCCTTGCTTTTATTAACTTCACTTAACGAAGTCTTTTTTGAGTTTGGACATAAGATGTCCTGACATCGGATTTGACTTCTACAAGCAGTGCCCGAGTGCAAGATCTCAGTTAAATCTTATAGGTAAGCTTAGAAAGCGGGATGTTATATTCATTCGATTGAACTCTTCAGTCGCCCCATTTGCTTCATTTGCTCTCCTTGTAGACGAAAGGGATCTAGTCGATAAGTTAGCCACAGGACGTCGTTTGAGCCCCGCTCTGACTCTGAGAGCGAAATAGCCTAGTTGTTTAGGGGCTCATGGCTCAAAAGCCGAGGTACCAATCTGCGTGAACACGTTCGAGCCACCCGTCAGGGACAGAGGCTTCTGCTACCATTAAGAGGGGCCAGCCCCTTTTCTGGGGCATGATTGGCTTTCAGGAAATGCATGAAGAAAACTGCGTTCTTCAGACAAAGCCAAATTCCAGCCCAGTAAAGTATGCATCCAGTCCTTCGCTGCCGAATACAGAGCGGTTTAGGGAGATTTTCTGTTTACTAGAAAATGCTCTGGAAACCACGGAGAATCGTTCTTTTCGTGGGAAATGTTGGGTCACTTCTTGTGGCCCCAATTCACTTGCCCCAATAACGGCGGTTCATGAACGTGCTCATTTATTCTAGAACTTCCACATACCACAGTTACAGGCACCCGGGAAGGGATGAGAATGCGCATTTTGTTCATACAAAGTGGGGGATCCTGAACTGGGATTTCTTCCCTATTTTACTTGTTTTTTTTTTTTAAATTTGACTCTTGCCAATTTAGTGATAGCGCTGGAGCGATTAATTCAGTGTTTTATCAGCTCCAACAGAACAACCAAGCAATTTTTTTCTGGAAGAAATGCCTCTGCTGTCGTTTATTTACCAAAATTCAACGCTATTTTTAGCGAACGTTTCCATGTACTGG